AAGGAGTATGAAGATAGCATCCTCTTTGAAAAACCAGAGGGAGAATTCTCTGTTGCATTGTGTGCTAAGCTGCCACGCTTCAGCTTGCACTTCCCAGACAGCATTCAGCTCCCTCCCTGTGCTGTCTATGACTGTACATGGGCTTCGTTTATCCTGCACAATGATGGGTGAGTGTTTTTGTTCTTTTTCTTCAAAAATGTTTGAATTCGTTGTAGGACCTGTTTGCTGGCCTATTATATTCACAGTTGCTATTAAAGATTCAGCATTGTAGTTAAGACACAGAACACTCGTAATTGCTTGAAATTACATTCAATCTTGATGCTGTAGGAAATTGTAAACAGGGTTTTGAGAATTTCTATAGTGAACTTAATTCCAGATGGATAGCCCCAGAGGTCATTTCGGGGGGGAACGCGGGGGAACGCAGTTCCCCCGGGTGAGGTGCAGGGGGGCGGGGCACATGACGAAGCCCCGCCCCCTGCTTCCGGCCGCCCTGCTTCCAGCCCTCATTCAGCCAGGAGGAGGCAGGAGAAGAGGGAGGGTAAGTTGCTCCCTCCCCGCCTCTCCCCACCCCTGCCTGCCTGAGGCCGGGAGGGCCTTGGCGGGGCTTCCTCGCACTCCCGCTGGCCTTGCAGGTCCACAGCCGGGCCCCTGATGTCAGGGGGTGTGGCATATGCTAATGAGTTATGCTAATGAGTTCCCCTAGCTCTTTTTCTACGAAATGAATAAATTTTGTTGGTCTTCAAGGTGCTACTGGAATAAAGTAGGAGTCCAGTGGTACCTTAGAGTAATAACATTTATTCCATAAGTGTTTGGGACTCAGAGCTGATGCATCTCATGAAGCAAGCTCTGACTCATGAAAGTTTATGCTGGAATAAATTTTGTTGGTCTTCAAGGTGCTACTGGACTCCTCCTCAGAGTGAACAGGTCTTTAAGCTTTCATTTAATTATATCTTATTTTCCTAGCTCAGAGAATGATCAAGCAATCCTGTGCAGAGCTGTTTCAGCCCAAGCCCATTGATTTCAGTGGGTTTGGAGTGCCCTACGTAGGATTGCACTGTGAGAATCTTAGCTGTGAACCAGTAAGGCCCCTGTTCAGATCTTGCTATGAATTCTCTAAGTGGCACTCAGACAAACTACTGTCTCACAGCCTCAAGCCTCCCTCCATCTGCATTATGGGAATAATACCAATATTCCTTGCATGATTGTTGTAAGTTTTATAGAGATATTACAGTTAAAGCATTTGAATACTCAAGGGATATACATACGCTAAGTATAAAATATCAGCCTATCATAATTGGGTTTTGAAAGAAATGGACGGATGCAATTAGATAATAGGAGGATGTTTCATCCTAGATATTTTGAAATGGAGAAATGAGAGAGCCATAGTTCTAGAAAGGAAATTGGATTTTTTTCAAGAAATGTTACTATTCTAGTGGTGAACAGTTGAAGATTCTATCATATAATTTTAAAATAGGAGTTTTCAGTGATCCTTGATATTTTTATTATTTATTTATAGACTACTTTTCTCACTGAGACTCAAGTCAAATTACACAGTGTAAGTCAATACAATCAACAGAATGGAACATAATAAAATTAGGATTGCAAAAATCTGAAACAAAGTATAGGTATTACCATGACATGTTGAACAATGCGGAAATTACGCAGTAGATAGTATATACAGTACACAGTGATATAGTCCACACCCCTTTCCCCTTCTTTAAAGCCTCTTTCTGAACCATTCTGTTATAGTATAGCACAGGCTAGCCTGATCTCATTAGATCTCAGAAGCCAAGCAGAGTCAGTCCTGGTTAGTACTTGGATGCGAGACCATTGAGGAAGTCCAGGGTTGCGATGCAGAGGCAGGCATTGACAAATCACTAATGAATGCCTCTTGTCTTGAAAACCCTACGGGGTTGGCTGCAACTTGATGGCAAACACCCCCCACCCAGTACCTGTGTAAGGATGCGCTCCTGAATAATTCAGTACTGCATAGTTAGCCAGGAGAGCGGGAGACTTCCTAAGCTCATCAGGCAGACCATTCCATAAGGTGGGGTCAGCAACAGAAAATGCACATGTACAAATGCACAAGTTGTTGATCTTGCCCATTTGTAATGTGGCACCTTCAGAAGATCCCACTTAGATGAACAAAGCTGTCATGGTGGACCACAGTTGGAGAGGTGTCCTGCAGCTATGAGGGTCCAAGGCCATGAACAGCCTTGCATGTGATATCCAGTACCTTGAGCTGAACCCAGTAACTGATGGACAGCTAGTGGAATGACTGTGGAATAGGATTAATATATGTGTTCCACCTAGCTCTTGACAATACCTGAGCTATGGCCTTCTGCATCACCTGTAGTCTCTGAGTTTACTTTCACCGATTCCACAAGAGCAGTTGTTCCGCCCTCAGTCTCCTGTTTCCCCTGGTTGTACTGCTCAATTTCCCACTATTTGCTGCGCAGCTGTATTTTGACCCGCATCTCCCCCCAATTTCCCCCACGTCTTCTTGATCCTAAAAAATAAGGATCAAGAAGGCGCAGGGGAAATCGGGGGGGGGGGAGATGTGGGTCAAAATGCGGCTGTGCTGCATATAGAGGGAAATTGAGCAGTACAGCCAGGGTAAGTGGGAGACCAAGGGTGAAACAACTGCTTTTGCGGAATTAGTCTTTGAGTGAGGGGAGACCTACATAGAGTGCAGTACAGTAGTCTAACCTCGATGTCACCATGGTGTGGACCAAATGGGCAGATCAGCCATGTCAAGGTAGGGGAGCCACCTTCTGGGCTAAACTGAGTTGGAAGAAAGCATTTTTACAGCTGCATTAAATTGCTTCTTTAACAATAATCCTGGGTCCCGTGCAGCCCCTGACTCTTAACCAGGTCAGTGAGGATCAGCTGAACACCATCAAAGGTCCTTCAAGCCTTCCCAACTAGCATTACCTCAGTCTTGTCAGGATTTATTTTCAGTTTGTTCACTCTCAGCCATTTAAGCACAGCAGACAGGCAGTGATCCAGGACCTTTACCACATCACCAGGATGTTTGGATAAGGAGATACAGAGCTGTGTATTGTCAGCATATTGATGACAGCCAACCTCCCAACTATGAAAGATTTGTCCTAAGGGCTTTACATAGGGGTTGGATAGCACAGGGATAGGTTTGTGCCCTGTGGAACTCCACAGGATAGGTCCCTCAGTGCTGATAACTGGTGTCAATGAAGAAACAGGAATCACATGGACAAAAAGATGAAAGAGGGGAATGCAAATGCAGGGAAGGATGGAATTCTGAATGGCTGAAAGATTTTAAAGAACAGTAGAGAGTAAAAGGGAAAATACCAAGGGCTAAAAGTTACAAGGTATTGGAAGTAATGGACAAAGAAAGTATGACTGAAAGTCAAGTAACTGGAGAACAAAGGGAAGATAAAGGATTGAGGAGCCAAACAAAATGTCGTACTTGCAGATTCAGGCCAACATCTACGGTTGAGTTTAGTAGAATGCTGCAGGGACAGCTGTCTCTGATTGTTAGACCTGGATGATCAGTTCAGTCTGCTTTGGGCTAGGAGCAGATGCTCAGAGGTGTGGGAGGATTCTCTGTATACACCACATTGTCTTTTTAGTAAGGAATCTGATGGCATGACATGTACCATCTTCAGTATTTGTAGTTTCATGTGTAAGAGGAGACCGAGTTATCCCATTTCCACATACTTTTCTGATTCACATACTCAGTTTCCATGTTGGAGAACCTTTAGCTTACAGCATGATTCTGTTTCTTCCAGGGATGTATCTACATGCTTTAGCTGGGAGGTGTCAACACCTTTCAGCTTTATTCCTTCTCGTGGCATGTTGGATCCAGGTGAAGAGTACTCAATAAAGGTGACCTTTCAACCTCATGCAGCTCTGGTGCATGATGTGTCAGCAACATGCAGCTTTGGAGAAACTCAGGAGCAGAAGTCCATGAGATTGACAGCTGTTGGTGAGGATGTGTAGACTCTGAAAGCAAGGGTATGGGAGAGAAGAGAGAAAAGGATCTTAGTTTTGTAGGCAAAATAAAGGCTTGTGAATCTAGAAGAAACTGGACTCGATAGCATCTAGAAAGTTATTTATTTATTGAGAGCCAGTTTGGTGTAGTGGTTCAGTGCATGGACTCTAATCTGGGAGAACCGGGTTTGATTCCCCACTTCTTCACTTGCACCTGGCTGGATGACCTTGGGCAAGCCATAGTTCTGGCACAGCTGTTCTTGAAAAAGAGCAGTTTCTGTCAGAGCTCTCTGAGCCCCAACTACCTTACAGGGTGTCTGTTGTGGGGAGGGGAAGGGGAAGGAGTTTGTAAGCCGCTCTGAGACTCCTTCAGGTAGTGAAGGGTGGGGTATAAATCCAGTCTCCTCCTCCTCCTCTTCTTCTTCAGTCACTGACTGATTTCCCACAAGCTGCTGCTCCGCGCTCACTCTTCCCTTTGCCCCATCGTACGTGTCAATTTCACACCACGTGCTGCGCAGCTGCATTTTGCCCAGCAGCTTCGCCCAACTTCCCCCGCGTCTACTCCATCCTGTTTTTTGACAGTTGAGTAGACACAGGGGAAATTGGGCGAAGCTGCGGGGCAAAATGCAGCTGCGCAGCACATTGTGTGAAATTGACACGTATGATCGAGGCAAAGGGAAGAGCGAGCACGGAGATGCAGCTTGTGGGAAATCGGTCACCATGAAACACGGACAGGAGTTTGTACCTCTGTAGGCATTCTTACATGGCAGAATGGGAAGACATTAAAACATTTAGCATCTCCAGAAACTGGACAAGATTATACACGAGAAAGAGAATTTGGCCATGCCAGGAAGGCAGACAACACCACACAGTAGGCAAAGAGAGGTGTTATGCAGTGGGCAGTGACTTACATTTGGTGTTGTAAGGAAGACAGGCAGGAAGGCGTAACAGGAAGAGGTTAACATTTAGCATTCCCAGAAAAGCAGATGATGTTGCAAAGAGGAAAAAAGGTAGACATTTTACTTACACCTTTGGGAAAACAGATGGAGTTACAGAGGTGGTATAGAGACAGATGTTTTGCTTGAACCCTCCACAAAGACAGGAACACAGCAAATGTTACAGAGGGGCATAGAGTTGCTTTGCTTGCATCTTCAGGAAGATGAGGAAGAGAGGATGTGTGCATTTTAATCAATCATACAAAGACAAACCCACTATTTGTGTACACTGCAATCAGTAACACATACATGGATCAGTAGGATTGCAATCAGTAACACATACTGGGAAATCTAGCCCATCAGATCTTGGAAGCTAAGCAGGGTTAGCCCTGGTTAGTACTTGGATGGGAGACCACCAAGGAAGTCTGGGGTTACTACACAGAGATACACAATGGTAAATCATCTGTGCCCATGTCACCTTAAAAAACCTATGGGGTTGCCATAAGTTAGCAATGACTTGTGGCATTTTCCACCCCAAGTTGCTTGGACATGGCTGGACCATGTCTGTAGTAGATGTTTTGCTTTGGATAATCCTATCTGGCTATTCCAATTTAAGACTACTCTCATTATTCAAGGTGTTGACCCAGATCTTGGTCAACCACTTTTTGATGCAACCTGAATTTTCATGTACTTTCAGCGTAGGAAGCTCCAGTAGTCTATTTATTTATTTATTTGTATTTATAGCCCCCCCCCCCATCCGGCAAGTGGGCTCAGGGCAGATAACATCACAAAAACAGTACTATACATATGATTAAAATTAAACAAGTTAGTAATTTAAACAATAATAAACATTAAAACCCAATAATTAAAACCATTAAAACCCAATCTTGTTTTTTAATATTCTTTTTTTTCCAGCCAAATATCCCCATCTGCTGGTGAAAGTACCAGGAGACTCATGTGAAGAAACTGGGCATAGACATTTCTGGGATGTGCTCTGCTTTGGCTCTGTTGCTGTTGGTAGCACTGTGGAAAGATATGTGGAGATCTGCAATATGTCTGTGGTACATGAATTTTATTACTGAATTATTACAGTTTTATTACTGAGTTTGACCAAGAGATTATTCACATGTATAAGCACGTATTAAAGAATACATGTCCAAGTTCTGTGTCATCTGTACATATAGCATACTAATATTTACCCAGAAGATTCCAATAATTTTATGGTAGTGGTGCAGTAAAATCTTGGCATGTATTGAAAAATTAGATGTTGGGGATATGGTATAAGGTAGATTTATCTGGATTGCATCACAGGCTCTCCATGATTTGTACAGTTCATGTGTTAAGTACATTTCCATAACCAACTCAGGGCCAATTATCATAATCATTTTGTGAGCTTATTTTTGAAGCCACATGGATTCTTTTTTCTTGCATGACACCCCCCCCCCCCCCCTAGTTGTGCTTATTCCAGACACTGTCTTGTAATTCCCCCACTGATCAAATTTCAGACAGTGATGCATTGCCGGTGCCAATCACCCATGAAAATGTGTCTTTGTGCCGTTGAATCCCAAAACCTGGTATAGTGGATTCAGCCATTTTTTCAGAGGAGCATGTTAGGGAGTGCTGTGAAGTGCTGTAAAGTACTATAAAGCATGGGTGGGATAGCTTCAGTGTTGCATGGTCTCCTTTTTTCTTTTATTAGTTAACTACCAGTTAGTTAACTACCAGTCAATATGCATTCTCAGGATGCATTTACAGTTAAGACATAATGAATCTGTGTCAAGTGATCCTGAATTTAGTCCAACATGCTTTGTAAATATTTCAGCAATCAACAGGTGTTGGGTAGCTCACTAGAAATTAATTAGTGGTTACTTGGTGGACTTTCGGTCTCCAAGACACATGTTTATAATAGGTGTATTTGCCAGATTGCAAAAGATAGGTACTCCATGGGTCAGACCAATAATTTATTCTGCTTCATGGACGTATTTCCATGGTAAACCCTATTCTATGTCCAACAGCTTCCTGAAGTCTGCCATGTTTTGCTTGCTCCCTTCTCTGGCCCTGGCGCCACGGCGCATGCTTCATAGCTTGCTCGCTGCTCTGCCCGCTTGCTGTAAACAGCGATAGGGAGACCGTGAGAACCAGTGCTGCCAGACTGAGTTATCTGTCTGACCTTGTGACAGAGGGAGGGCTTGCGTTCCACCGCTGGTGTGAATCTTTCGGCTCTCATGGGGCACTGAGACTCTCCCGCTTATTATATAACCTCCCACCGGGAGAATTCCCACGTGCGCGCTCAGATTTCATTTGCTTAGCCATTTGCCTCATCCTGCTATATGTAGGGATGTTTCCGCCCTATTGTCATTCCTAACAATAAACCTGTGGACATGGTAACAGACCTGTAGTCTAATAAAGCATAACGTTTCCCTGGAAACGTGTGTGGAGATTTACTTGCTGTTGAACCTGCCATATATGCACCCCCTCACCCAGCTGGCGTGGAGTTTCAGGCTGGGATGTCATCAGTGTGCTGATGAAACCCAGCTATTTATGATGATGGGTGGCCAACCAGACACCGTTCCCGTGAATTTAGCCAAGGGTTTTGAGGCTGTGGTAGGGTGGTTAAAGCATACCTGGTTGAAACTGAATCCTGGTAAAACAGAGATTCTGTGGCTGGGTGGGGGGAGCCACAGTTGGGTTGCAAACTCCTGACTCTTGACGGAGTGCCCCTAACACCAGCATTTGACATCAGGAGTCTGGGCATGACTCTGGATGCCAGTTTGGTGTCGTGGTTAAGTGCGCGGACTCTAATCTGGGAGAACTGGGTTTGATTCCCCACTCCTCCACTTGCACCTGGCGGGATGACCTTGGGCAAGCTGTAGCTCTGATAAGAGCTGTTCTTGAAAAAAGAGCAGTTTCTGTCAAGAGCTCTCTGAGCCCCACCTACCTCACAGGGTGTCTGTTGTGGGGTAGCAACGGACTACTGCCCAGCCAAGCTCTTCGCAAGAACTGGTTGACCGGGGGCGGATCCGGCTGTTAAGGCACTGGCTCTGCCCCCCTAGCGGGTCACGTAGCTGACCAGGATACATGTCTCCCCTTCCTCCTTCAATGGAGTCAAAGGCGGCCCCCGGCAGTACGGCTGCGCCATCTGCTGGTAGGGCTGGATTGCATAGGAATCTCCCAAATGTTCCTTTGGCTCAGATTCTGCTGACCTAAGCTACAAGATGCAGGGCAGGCTTTTCTCTCCTCAAAGAGAAGGATGTAACCCTGTTTGGTTCTTGGTAGGTTAATGCTCCATTCCGGATTGAAAGATCAAAGGAATTAATGCTTCGTGATTGTGACTTCTCTTGTGATGTCACCCAAGCCACCGTCTCAGCTGCTGGGAAGTTTCTCGTCCCCTTTCATTTCAGCCCAAGGATTGTGGGTATGAACAGTGTGGACTATTTCACAGTTGCACCTGCTGGGAATGTGACACATTCTGTCCTGAAGCTGACAGGATCATGCAAAGGTACAAGACACTGAGAACCCTTTTGATTCTCCACGCTGTATTAAGACATACCTACTGGTATTTCTCTCTTGTTTCTACTGATCCCTGCAGAGGTAGGTTGTAGAATCTTTCTGAATACTGGACTATGGCCAGGGTATGTATATGAAATTTTGCATGGAAAGTTCAACTATGTGTATGTGCTACATGTATTCCACAATTAATGATTAATAGGCCTTTTAAATTCTCCATGGAATGTAGTAAATTACAGCTAGAGACCATTTTGTTTGGATTCATACTGTTTTCTACTTTTGCTATTTTCAACATTTTATTGCTGCTGGCCTGCAGGTCACTTCCTATGATTTGTGGCACTATAGCCCAATTCTAGTATCCATTTCCAGCAACAAAATTTTTTTTTGCATTCTTTGCAGAAGAAAGCTGACTCTTCCTCTCATTAGTCAGTGGAAGGGATTCTTTTATTTATTTTATTTTATTGGACTTGTATCCTGCCCTCCCCAGAAGCAGTATGGGTCTTTGATATTGTATGAATGAGAATGTGTCTGTAGCAATATTTGGGAGTACTGCTGAATACCCAAGGAAAAAGGTGATCAAGAGCAATCGCTTTTACAGCTGTAAGCATAACAATCAAATTCAGAGTAAGAAAAAGACAGGAACCACTAGTATATGAGCACATTGCATTCCCAGTGTCAGCAGCAACATGTGCTATTTTTCTTTTGCTATCAAGTCAAAGCTATTTTATGGTGACCCTGTAGTAAGAGGCATTCAGAGGTGGTTTGCCATCGCCTGCCTCTGTGTCAGGACCAGTGTTCCCTCTAAGCTGAGCTAGTGTGAGCTAGCTCACAGTTGCTTAGCCTCCGGCTCACACATTTTTGACTTCGCTCAGGAAGGAGGGGCTACAGAGCAAACTAATTTATGTGGTAACCAAATCGCTCGCTCACAACTTTAATGCCAGGAGCTCACCAAGTAGAATTTTTGCTCACAAGACTCCACAGCTTAGAGGGAGCATTCCCTGGTATTCCTTGGAGGTCTCCCAACCAAGTACCAGGCAGGGCCGGCCCTGCTTAGCTTCTGAGATCTGACAAGATCGGGCTAGCCTGGGCCATCCAGGTCACAGTGTGAAAATTGCCTCGTCTGTCATTACAGGTCCTGGAGTTTCTCTTCAGCATCCTTTTGTCTACTTCAGCTGCATTACCCTGGGGGAGAGCTTAACTCAGACCTTAAATATCACCAATACTTCTGATGTCCCAGCCTATTATCAATTTGACATTGACTGCGGGCAGAGTATCTTTTATGTTGACTACCCATGTGGGATATTGGCTGGGATGTCCACTATTACACTGAAGGTGACCTTCCAGCCCACCTATCCAATGATTTATTACCGAAGAGTGGTTTGCCTTGTGCATCACCAGGTAAGAGTACTGGGTTCCGTCTTCCACTGAAGTGTTGCTCTTGGTTGTATTTCCCGCTGTCAAAAATGTGGTGTTTGAGAAGTATCCCATCAGGGGAACAGGATCATGTCTTTTGACTGGCTGCCATGCTTACACAGCATAATTCCTGCCGTCTTAATGCTTTCTTTTACATAGCATGTCAGCCTGACAAAACACCTGTTTTGATCTGAGCAGCAAGCTCTACATCTCTGCAGGTTGTATTTAGTCTTTGAGCCCTGCTCTATTTCACCGTCCTCCCCAGCTCTTGGCTGTTTTGTGAGCAGAGGTATTTGATTTCAATTCATCACCCTGTCCTCAATTAGGGAGATTAGACTTGCAGGCCTCTAGGCAGCTTTTGGAATAGAGGAACAGGGCATATCTACAGGGGCAGGGCATATAGAATCATAGAATGTTAGAGTTGGAAGGGACCTTGCAGGTGATCTAGTCCAACCCCATGCACTCTGCAGGAGCAGAGCCGAAAGAGAGCCCTACAGCATACCTGAAAGATGGTCATCCAGCCGCCACAAAGCATTTTGCTGTATGTTCAGTTCATAGTGGTAGCAGAAAAACAGTAGTGCAAACAGCTTTCTTGGAAAGGGCTTTCTTGAAGTGTCTGGATAACTCCAAGCTTTGCTGCACGAGACAAATAATTTAGACCCCTTCCAGTCTGGGTCTAGGCCTGGTTAAAGGACTGAAACAGCCTTGGTCACCCTGGTGGATGACTTGTGCTGGCCTTGGGAGATCCTTATTTAATAGCCAGCACCGCGGCAACAGGACTTTGATCTCCCGGGCGCCCCTTTCTGTGTAGAAAGAGAGACTCTCTCCTCATGGAGAACGAGAACCAAGACAAATTTCTGGACACTGAAGACTGCGCAGCGGCTGTTGCACTTATTGGATCTCCCAGGGACGTACCGGCACCGGCATGCCTCTACGGCTTGGATGTGCTGCCGGCGATGCGTTGGTCTTAGCGCCACAGAAGAACGGCAAGAAGTCTCACACTTCGGAGCAGTGGCCTGACGACGGCTCGGCCACCTATGGGCCAGGCGCCAGTAATCCCCCCACAGTGCGATTTCAGCGGGAAACCAGGCTGGGAGTCTCCTCAGCTCTGGAGTGGCCTTTCAACACGACATTGACAACCCCCTGCCGGGAGATTTTGCTGCAGGCTGTTTGCTTCGCGTTCAGGCTCTGCCTGCCCCAGCTGGTTCTCTTCTGATTGGTAACGTACAAATGTATACTAACGTGCCTGTTGACTTGCTGGGGCTAATGCGGCAGGCGGTCAGGGATGAAATGTTCACCCTTAGTCGCCCTCCTGCCTTTACTCCCATGAGACCTGGCTCTGAATCCTCCTCCCCTCCCCCCTCGCCTAGAAGGGCTCCTACTTTTATGGCTCATGGCAGACATTGGCCAACTAAGGCTGCTCAGAAAAGACCTCTAGAAAGGAGTGGTGATGCAGACCCAAACTGGGGGGGGGGGAAGCTTCTTATTGATCCTGACACAGAGCCCAGGGAAGACAGAGAATTCCTCTCTGATGAGGAAGGAGATATTTGTGCCAGAGCCATCCACCCACCTCTTTAAGATGGAGGATTATCAGTACTTATTGTCAAAAACAGTGGCTGCCCTCCAGCTTCATGATAGCCCTACTAGGGACACACAAACTAGACCCAGATTGTCTAAGTCCAGTACGGAAGGCATGCAGGAATTCTTTCCCAAACATGCTTCCACGCTCAACGTTTAACCTCTCCCAGAGTATTTTGAGAGACAAATGCGGGCAGAATGGGCTAAACCAATGGCCAGTTTCCTCAAATTGTTAAGAGACTGTATGCTATGCCTGATATGCTACGCCTGGTCCTTAGACATTATATCTCAAGGATATTCCACCGAATTTGAAAGTTACCCACCGGAACGTTTCCTGATTTCGCCTATTCGCCAAAATCGTCAAAAGAGGAGGATCACACAGAATACAATCCAACATCTGATCGACATCAGAGCGGTGGAACCGGTGCCCATTCCACAACGGGGCAGGGGAGTGTACTCTATATTTTTCACTGTCCCCAAGAAGAACGGAGATTGGAGGTCCATCCTGGATCTCAAATACTGCAACCGGTTCATCAAGCTTCATCATTTCAGGATGGAGACTCTGAGGTCCATCACGGAAGCCATTCAACCAAACGAGTTTCTAACTTTGATAGACTTGACAGAAGCATACCTCCATGGGCCCATCCTTCACTCCCACTGCCAGTACCTGCGTTTCTGCGTGGGGACACAACATTTTCAATTCCGAACCCTCCCATTCAGACTCTCTATGGCCCCGCGGGTATTTACGAAGATCCTGGTAAACCTCGTAGTGAACCTCAGAGAATAGGGAGTACACATCCACCCGTACTTGGACGATATTCTCGTACGTTCCAACTTGCGGAGGAAGTTAACTCAGGACACTCTCACCACAATCCAATACTTACGTGCCCATGGATTCTTAGTGAACCTGTCAAAGTGTTCTCTTGTACCATCTCAGCGCCTGGAGCACCTTGGCATGATAATAGACACAAGATGGTGTTCCCTTTTTCTACCCACAGAAAAGATGGCCAGAACCAGGACTTTGGCAGAATCTGTGATCCGGAACAGTTCTGCAACATTGATGACCTTGGCCAAGCTTCAAGGTCTGCTCGTGTCCAACACCGAGACTCTGTGTTGGGGACGTCTTCATCTCAGACCACTACAGTCCTTCCTCTTGCTGTACCAAACTCAAATTATGGAAAAGGCGAACCTTGTCCTCAGCGTCCCATTATCGGTCATGGAAAGCCTGGTGTGGTGGACGAAATTCGAAAATCTGCGTCAAGGGAAGTCTTTCCTAATCCCACGCCAGATTTAACTGTTTTCGGATGCCAGTCTCAGAGGCTGGTGGGGTGCAACATTGGACGGCAAGCCGATCCAGGGTCTCTGGTTGGCACAGGAATCGAGACTTCCCATCAACGTACTTGAATTGAGGCCGATCAGATTGGCGGTACTCAACTTCAAAAAACAGCTCCATCAATGTCACCTCCTTGTCCGGACGGACAACATCTCCGCCAAGACTTATATAAACAAACAAGGAGGGTCAAAGTCCTCGAAACTCCACAGGGAAGCTGTCGTTCTCCTGACCTGGGTGGAGAAGCACTTGACATCAATTCGGGCCGAACATATCAGAGGCACAGCCAATGTTCAAGCGGACTGGCTGAGTTGAGAAACCATCCAACTGGGGGAATGGTCACTGAAGAAGGATCTTTTTGTGTCACTAACGAGGGAGTTCGGCACTCCCATTCTGGATCTGTTCACGAGCCCTCACAACCACCAGTTACCACGGTTTGTGACCAGATAGTTTCATCCTCAAGCGGAGGCGACGGACGCCATGACGTTTCAGTGGCCGAAGGGTCTACTTTACGCTTTTCCTCCGATTCCAGTGATTCCGAAGCTTCTTCGGAGAAAAAAGGAACAAGGAGCGGTGGTCTTGGTGGTAGCCCCGTACTGGCCCAGGAGACCGTGGTTCTTGACACTCCTTCAGATGGCCTCCTCTCGTCCGTTCAGACTTACTCGCTGGACATGCTTCAGCAGGGACCAGCATGGCACCTGCATCCAGACTGGCTCTGCTTAACCGTGTGGGTATTGAACGGGACACTCTCTTGAACAGAGACTACTCCCAGGATGTCATAACGACCATGCTAGCTTCACGAAAACTATCAACAAATAGAATCTACAGCACAGCTTGGAAGGCCTTCGTGCATTGGGGACGACAGAAAACTATCTATATTCTTCACCCCCTGATGGAGGCGGTCCTGGCATTCCTACAAGACGGTTTAGCGTCGGGCCTCAAGCCAGCCACGCTTAGGAATCAGATAGCCGCTCTGACAACAGTCTTACCGTTGGTAGATGGGGTGCAGCTCTCAGACCATCCTGACATTCGCCGCTACCTAAGAGGGGCCTCTCTCAAGAGTCCACCTGTGATTCACCATTTCCCCACTTGGCGACTTCACACGGTGCTCTCTGCATTGACTTCTCCTCCGTTTGAACCAGTTTGGGGCGTTACCTTGTGATGGCTCTGTTTGAAAACTATTTTCCTCGTGGCAGTCACCTCGGCCAGGAGAATTTCTGAGCTTGGACCCTTGTCGATTAAATCAGAGCTTTGTGTCTTTCACAAAGACAAAGTTGTATTACGCACGGACCCGACCTTTTTGCCGAAGGTACACTCCATATTCCACAGGACACAGGAGATCTGTCTACCCTCTTTCTGCCCAGCACAGACTCATCCCAAGGAGGCTTCCTGGCACAAGATGGACGTGCGCAGGTGTCTTAAAGCTTATTTGATTCGTACTCAGTCTATCAGATGCTCTGATGCTCTGTTCATCAACATCACACCCCCTAACATGGGGCAAAAGATGTCCCCGCCGGCCATTAGTATGGCGATCAAGACCTGCATTGTGGAGGCCTACAAGGCACAAGGTTTTGACATACCACAGGGCATAACAGCGCACTCTGTTCAGAGCACCGCAACCAATGTAGCCTTTCCCAAGCACGCTTCGGTGGAAGAAGAATGCAAGGCCACAATGTGGTCGTCCCTTTCTACCTCTGTCAAACATTACAAGTTGAACCTCTTTTGTTGTTGTTGTTGTTCAGTCGCACAGTCGAGTCCGACTCTTCGCGACCCCATGGACCAGCTCCCGCCAGGCCCTCCTGTCTTCCGCTGTCCTCTGAAGTTGGCTCAATTTCATGTTCGTTGCATCGATGACACTGTCCAACCATCTCATCCTTTGCTGTCCCCGTCTTCTTTGACCTTCAATCTTTCCCAGCATCAGGGTCTTCTCCAGTGAGTGCTCCCTTCTCATTTGGTGGCCAAAGTATTTGAGCTTCAGTTTCATTATTTTGGCAAATGAGTGTTGCAGCATGTGATTTCAGATGAAGACGATGACCCACCCAGACTGTGAGCACTGCTTTGGAAGTGCCCATAGATGTCCTCCGCCTCAGAGGGAGAACGACCCTTGGACACTTACCGTGAGGGGTCCTTCTCCTCTGAGGAAAGGAGGACATCTCGCCCTCCCTACGTCTTTGTTCTTACATTTCTGCTATTTTTCTCTATAGCTGCAACTTTCTGCCTTGTTCTTCTACTGTTATAATATTCCATTTTCATGGCATTGTTCTTTTATTCTTGTTACCTTTCTGAGTTCTTACAGTTGATAGGAAGGGTTTTTTTGCTGTTAATGTTTTGCGGAGTTACCCAAACTGAAGATAGGGGGTGTCCCACACGCCAGACAGGAAGAGGAAGAGTTTTAGTTCCTGCCTCCCTATTGGACGGTGGTAACACCCATAGATGTCCTCCGTTCCTCAGAGGAGAAGGACCCCACATGGTAAGTGTCCAAGGGTCATTCTGCCTTCTGAGATTAGGCAGGTGGCAACCAGGAGAAGGGCCTTCTCGGTCATGGCATTAGAGCTCTGGAACTCTCTCTCCAGGGAGATTTGTCTGTCCTGTCCTGTTGCCATTTTCTGCCAGAGGGTGAAGACTCTTTAGTTTGGTTTGGTATTCCCTCAATGATCCCTCCTTCCTAAACCAATGTTTTAATTACTGTTTTTATGTCTTTATGTATTTAACTCTTTTTAATTTGCTTTAATAGTGTGTCATGGGGGATTGATTTTAATGCTTTTTAAATGTGATTTTATCATGTATATTTTAAATTGTTAGCTCCCTTGGTGGCCTTTATAAAAGCAGAAAGGCAAGATATAAATTTTGTAAATAAACAAATAAATTGTATTGTCTTTGTTTCAAGACACCAGTATATTCTAAGACAGCTGTCCAGAATGCGTAAAATCGCTATTCTTGTAATGGTTCAAATTGACTTTGAGAGCCAGTGCCGGCTGAAATACCTAGGTTGCATATACTATGAGGATTGGATAAAATAGCTTATCCTACTTCTAAAGTAGTAGTTTGTGATCATGCACAGCTACTAGCATTGTGCACCAGCTAGAGTTTGGCCTGTGGACATGGGAAACTTGTGTTCAAATCCTAGCTTGGCTATGAAGCTCATTAGGTGACTTTGGCCAAGTCTTATCTCTCAGCCTAGTTAACCTCACAAGGCTATCAGTTTGGTGTAGTGGTTAAGTGTGCGGACTCTAATCTGGGAGAACTGGGTTTGATTCCCCACTCCTCCACTTGCACCTGCTGATGTGACCTTGGGTCAGTCACAAGCTCTGGCACAGCTTTTCCTGAAAGAGCAGTTTGTGTCAGAGTTCTCTCAGCCCCACCCACCTCACAGGGTGTCTGTTGTGGGGAGGGGAAGGGAAAGGAGTTTGTAAGCCGCTCTGAGACTCCAAGTGAAGGGTGGGGTATAAATCCAATCTCTTCTTCTTCTTCTTCTATCATGTTGTTTTCAATCCTTGGAGAAAAGTTGGGATAAAAATAATAAAACAAATGCACTTAGTGCTTCACCCTGCCTTTCTCATTTTGACAAAAATACTGTCCCAGATCTGAAAAGTGTATCCAGAAAATGAGAATTAGAATGATCGTGCAGTGATTAGCCCTTTAAATGCTACCTTAGTGAAATGAGAGCTGCTTTTCCACAAACACCTTCTATATTGCTGGTATAACATTCAAATGATGTAACTACATGTATGGTGGCTTATCACAGAGATCTTTCCCATGGAATTGTACACCCAATCCTGACAACATGCTGATGCTGTATTTTTGGCTGGTCCTTTAGCCACATGGTTGAGTTATTTAAGTTGGAAAAATTACTCCCATACAGCTACAGCTCTTTGTTTTTCTGATGCCTCTTAGGAGCCATTGTTCCTAGATTTGTTTGGAACATGCCACTCAGACACAATGAAACCAGAAATTCTGAAACTGAAGGACCTTACAAGATACAGGACGCATATGGCCCGAGGACTGACCTTTTACCCACCAGATGTCTTGGGTACCATGCTGAGGGAAGGCAAACTGCAGCTGGATGAAAATGGAGCCCTCACACTCCCACCAGAGGTGAAGTATGTCTGTTAGTGGGACCAAGATTACCCTGTTCTGCTCCCATGACTATGGATGTCCAATATGAATACTGTCTTGGTGCCCCATGGATGTGCTCTTGGAGAGGCCCAAATTGCTTATGATGTTTTTGCAATTGTATGATAGCCATGTGCTTACTCTGAGTGCACTATCATTAAAGGATGACTACTATGAAGCTGCTAAACATTGTGGGGCTTTGAACTTACCTCTTATCCTTCATGGGCCCCCATCAATGTGAAATCAGGAAAGTTTTTAAGGTCGAAATACTATAGGGATATGGATTTTCTTGTGGATGGGCATCCTTCTGTTATTCATTTCTTACTTTCTACTAAAGTAGCCAGAGAAACTTGCCAGGGTCACATGAACTCACATCCATTCTGATTGGTCAGTTATCTTCAGTATATCTTCAGTCTAGTCAGAGATATCTCTCCTTTGTTTTTAGATGCTGGAGGGCAAGGCGCCTGAGGAATATCCTTTACTTGACCCCATGGTTGAATACTTCCATGATGGGGTAAACAATGACCTCACTGTGTTTCCTCCTCACATCAACCTGAGCACCAAGGAGTTTGATTTTGGCTGCTGCGCAAAGCTTCAAAATATACAGCCACTTCCTCTCTGCCTGACCAATTGCACAAAAGGAAAGATCACTATCAAATGGACAAAGAAGACAGAGAGTCCCTTCCAGGTGGCCCCAGATAGTTGTGACATCCCACCTCTAAAATCCATGGCTTTCTGCATCACTTTCCAGCCTCCTCAGCTCAACTCTTTGTATGCAGCAGAACTAGAAGGGTTTGCCTTCTACAAGGTAGGTAGGAATCTATGTCAAAGGCATTTATAGCATGGGAATTACAACTTGGTTTTTATAACTGATTGTGAAGGTGCCAAGAAAAAGATTGTTCACAGCTTGGTCTGGGGGACTGGCTGGCGGAGACACTGTGTGTATGAGTTGCCTTCAGTAGGACATGAATCATCCATCCCCACTGAGAAAGGGACTAGTTTTAAAATGGAGCTAGCAATCAACCTGGGATTTCTTCTGAAGGGCAGTTGTCTTCCCTTTCTGTTGAAAGCCTACGGCTGAAGGGAGGAATATATATTTTTCAGAAATAAATATTTATAGGGAGTGGGGTAGAGAAGGTATGGGCAAAACAAAGTTTTTAAAACTGTGCCGTTATTGCCCAGCTAAACTTCCCTCAAACGACGGTCACGATTTGTGCCTGTTTTGTCTCGGGGTATCCCATAGAGTCGATACCTGTATTCATTGTGCTAGTTTTACTAGACAAGCTCGACGTAACAGGAAGACTCGCCTTAGGGCTGTGCTTTTAGAGGCAGACTTGCGCCCTGCCATGGCTTTGACTGTTTCTAAAAAATCAGAATCCTCTTCGAAGGCACCAAAGTTAAAATCTACACAGCCTGAGGGTAAGGCTTCCTCGAAATCGAAAGTCAAGCCCTCGACATCGGCTTCAACTTCGGCTGTCGACCCAGTCGCCATTACTGGTTTAACAACATCGACCCCTGCTGTGGCTGTTGTACCTAACAAGCCCAATTTGCGGCCTCCGACACCTATGCTCTCTTCAGCCTCTGGCCTTATTCCACTGTGTCAATCTACGAGATCTCTTCCGGACTTGTCTTGTCACCGGTATTCTCGATCTCCGACTCCACACTCCTGTACCCCGATCCACCATTTGGAGGGCAGGGAGCATTCTGCTGGCCATCGATCTCGATATTATCGAAAGCGTCTTATTCGTCGCCAGTCACCCTCTCCTTCGGGATCGCCTTTTGATGACGAATACTGGTCTGATTAACGAGATCGACCAGATTACTATCCGTATTATTATCCAAGGTCTCCTATTCCTCATCGACACTGATACGATCGCCTTCGTCACTTCGCACGTGATGACCACCCACGCACTTTAGATCGTGCGAGATGATCTCGGTCCGTGACTTCAGCCCGTTCTGTGGCCCCTGATCAGCCTCCTGACCTCTCGAGGCCTACAGATGCCCCTAAGTGTTCCCTCTCAGAACCTGGGCTTCATCCCCCTGTTGATGACTCAATACCAGCTGATCTCACTCAATAGTGGAGATCTTCATCTCCCATGTCGATTTCTGACAACTCGGAATCAGCAGATCTCAAACTCGATGTTTCGCACATCGACGATGACCTTCGACCCTCAGAGTCTATTTCACCTACTGAAGGCCCGAAAGCGTATCTGGAGCTTGTAACCAGGTTGGCATCCGCCCTTCAAGTCCAAGGTTCGACTGAATCCCCGGCTGTGACTGATGTCGTTCACAAGCTTGTTCAGGGTGACCTCCCACCTTCGACGGTCCTGCCTCTATTGCCGGTCCACCTCTCCACACTTAAGGAGGCATGGGTTCATCTCCCATTTCCCCAGTCTCTATAAGGTTCAAGAGAGCTCGGGAAAGTTTCTCTTCAGCCAGCCTCCACCGAATTCCATGACTGTACAATCTTCTTCGAAATCGAAGCAATCTGCCCGTCACTCTGTGCCTCCCGATCGCGAAAGCCACAAGATTGATGTTATCGCGAGGAAACTGTATTCCTTCGCCTCTATGAATCTTCATATTGACACCTACCTGTCATATCTGTTGGCCTATGCCTTTAATGTGGCTAATGCGGTCCATCCCGTCTTACAGTTTGTTCCGGAGGAGCACCGTCCAACGTTGTCAGGAGCTTTATCAGAAATTTGCACGATCTCGAAACAACAAATTAATTCAGTCCGTCATGCTGTCACTTGCTCCTTGAACGTTCTTGTCTCCTCCATCGGTCTCTGTAGTCATGCTTGGCTAAGAGGTACCTCTTTATAGCCCGATGTGAAATTCCTAATTGAGAATCTCCCCTTCAGTGGCGAAGGTCTTTTCCACTCTACCACTGACGAAGCTTTAAAGGCTGTCGATGATTGTCGGAAACAGGCTCGCAACCTTGGTGTCTCGGCATTGACACATCGACATTGATACCGTCCGAGGAAACCTTATTATGCCAGATGTCAGCCATCTCCTGCGCCCACCTCCCATTGGAGAAAGAGGCCCTATGACTCCCATTATCCTAATAGGGTGCGCCAACAGGCCCCTAAAAAACCCCAGCAGCCCAAGTAGTCTGTTTGACCGCTTCGATAGCCTGCCCATCTCCTCCATCTTACACCCCTCCCGTCTGGACCCGACTCTTCCCCTTTCTACGGAAGTGGGAAGAAATGTCTTTCTCCACACCTGGACGGGGACCCTGTTTTATTTCTTCCTTCCGTTTCTATTGATCTCCAGGGTCATTTGAAAGATTATGACCGATGTAACGTCCTGCATCCTAGTCACTCCATGGTGGCCGTGCCAAGTCTGGTTTTCGCATCTCCTTCGGCTCTCCAACCAGACATTCCATCCTTTCCTGTCATTCCAGATCTCCTCTCTCAGGCTTGAGAAAAGGTCCTCCACCCCGATCCCGGGTTCTTCCGATTAACAGCCTGGAAGATCCTGCATTAGACTTCCTGCCTGAAGTGTCTGAAGTCCTTCTGAATGCCAGGAAGCCATCTACCCGTGCCACTTATGCTCTAAAGTGGAAGCAGTTCCAGTTGTATGCCTCTGATCAGTCCTTTGATCCTCTCCAGTCGCCTCTTCGTGAGATTTTTTCCTATCTCGTCTCGTTAAAGAATACTGGCCTGGCCTACTCGTCTTTAAAGGTCCATTTAGCGGCCATCTTGGCCTACCATCCCTTGATAACAGGGATCCACGGTTTTTTCCCACCGCCTTACCAAGTCGTTCCTCAAAGGTCTCCTCCACCTCTGTCCCCCTAGGAAGCCTTTGGTGCCTTCGTGGAGTCTCTCTCTGGTTCTCACTCAACCGATGTCTAAGCCATTCGAGCCCATGGCCATGGCTGAGTTCAGGTTACTCTCCTGGAAAACTGCCTTCCTTATAGCGATCACTACTGCGCGCAGAGTAGGGGAACTAGCTGCCTTTCGGTCTGATCCCCCCTATACAATTTTCCATAAGGAAAAGGTCGTCCTTAGGCCAGATCCTTCTTTCCTGCCTAAAGTCGTCTCTGCCTTTCATGTGTCCCAGTCATCTGTTTTACCTTCATTCTTTCCAAATCCGACTGATGCACCTCAGAGAGCCCTCCACTGCCTCGATGTGCGTAGAGCGCTCTCCTTCTATTTACATTGGACTCAACTTATATGTAAATCTCCTCGGCTGTTCCTTGCCTATGGGCCCCCTCATCTCGGGGAACCTATTTCCTCTCAACGCTTGTCCAAGTTCCACCATAGCCCTTGGCTATGAGCTTGCACGTCAACCCATTCTTACCTCTGTCACTGCCCATTCTACACGGGTGGTATCGACACCCACCGCTTTCCTGGCTGGTGTCCCATTGGAGGACGTCTGTGCAGCTGCTACGTGGTCCTCGGCATCGCCCTTCGTGACCCACTACACACTCAACATCTGAGCTCGACGGGATGCTGCCTTCGGCCAGTCGGTACTGCGATCTCTCTTCGCTTGATCCTGCTACGTCTCCAGGTAGGACCTGTGGGTGTTTTTTTCCAGCCGATGACGCTGTGTCTTAACCAGTATTCTTTGTGTCTCTTGCAACTGCCAGCTTCCTCCTCCAACTGGTTCAGCTCTTGTAATCAGCTCTTTTGGTACTGTACAGAGACCACGATGAAGGTAAACAGGTTGCTTGCCTGTAACTGATGATCTTTGAGTGGTCATCTGTGCAGTACCACAACCCCCCCCGCCCCAGCCTTCCCCACTGCTGGCATCTCCTATTCACCTTTCTTTGGCTTGATGGGACTTACCGGTAGTGGTCGAAGGAATTGAGTGGGAGGCGGCTCTCTCCCCCGCTCCAGGCATGTACAGTACGTGCCTGCTCCCCAGGGCGGGAAGAGAGCCTGCCAAAAGCTTTCTGAGGCAAAGCTCTAGACGTTTCTCCGGTCAAGGTTGTGCGCAGGCGCCCAACCCATGTGTGGTACTGCACACCACTCGAAGATAATCAGTTACAGGTAACTGCACACCACTCGAAGATCATCAGTTACAGGTAAGCAACCTATTTATCCAACAAGTCTTGCCTTACCCCATCTCTTATTGCTGATAGGTGTTGCGGAACTACAACAATATTGAAGAGCCCACCACCATATGCCCATCCTGGAGCTTCACCATCCGCTTGCGTGGACATACTTTTGAACCTGGGCAAGAACACTTCATCCCACAGTATACTTTGGACTACCACAAGGTGAGCAATATGGCTTTCTTCCCTTGGGATGGTTTATTTGTAGTCCAGCTCTATCTGACTGCAGAGTGGAAGGGATTCATCACTAATTTTCACTTATTTCTTGAAGAAGGACTTTACAGGCTTTTAGTTCAGGCACAGTCTTGATAAATTAGTCTCTGTTTCCAGTTAACAAAAAGGAAAATTATTCTAAAAAATCATGCAGTGTTCAAGGACATCTGTTGGCACAGACTGGGCACAGTTATGAACTGAGTTATACTGAGTTAAAAGCAATCTTTTTTATCCATTTGACCATGTTGGCTTTCTTCCCACTTCTGCAAACTTGCAAATGTACTCAGAGGCTTGCTTTGGGTTTTGTTTTTGTTTCTTGCTCTCTTTCCTCATTTACTTGAGAGAAATCCAGCCTGAGGTTCTGAATTAGCATTTCTTGGCTGGTGCCGTATCAGGCCTGATGACAGCAGAGGTCAGTAGAGGCCCACTTATGGTTCCATATGGATAACACTCACCATTTCCATTGTATTGCAAGTGTGTATGATTCTGTGTGATTCCTGTTTTGTTAGTTCTTGGGATAATGTTTCTCCTATTTTGTTGTAATCTGCCTGATTGTCGGTTAATATCCAGGCCCAGTTCTAGGTGCTGATGATGACCTTTAAAGCCCTAAGTTGTCTGGGAACAGCACATGAAAACAACCCTTTTTAAGAGACAGTTTGAATTATAGGGACTTGAATTGTTTCTCTGATTATGAACTGTTATTCTTTCAAGGGGGAAGAATTGAGTGGTTTTATTGAATGGTTAATATTACTTTGCTAATGCTGAAATTGATTTTATGGCTGCTTTTTCTGCTGAGTATAAAGGGGGGAGCACACCAATTTAGAGTCAAAGCAGAGAAAAATAAGCAGATTATTACGGTGGGAATGTCCTGCGAGAAAGATTGTTTCACAGATCCCCTGACAAAGCAGCATGCAGAATGTGTAGGGGTCATAATAATATGTGTAGGGAAAAAAAACATAATATATATATTTTTCCCAGTGCACCATTGTTTTTTCTTCTTTGATTTGCTGTGTCTTCTATTGATGATAATGATGATGATGAGAGTGTTGGCTGTGCTTCTTTGTACTGTTTTGCTAACTTTTGTTGTAAACTGCCTATGTTAGGATGGAAGGGTGAAAATTTAAATAAATAAAATCTTTAGCCTCTGAACCACTCACCCCCCCACAATTACTGCTCACATGGATGTAGACTATAAACAACCTGGGGATGTAATCAATGAGTACCAGTGCATGCTTGGTCTTTTAATTTTGGGTCTGTCTCTGTCTACAAAAGAGAACCAGTATAGTATAGTGGTGGTTAGACAAGGAGACTTGAGTTAATATCCCCACTCTGCTGTGTGTGAGCCAGTCGCACTTGTACTATCTCTCAGCCTAACCTGTCTCCTAGGGTTGTTGTGATTAGAAAATGGGGGAAGGGAGAACAATACATACCACCCTGGACTTCTTGGAGGAGGGACAGGACAAATATTTAGAAGATAAGAGTACAGTTATCCAATTAGCAGAGCTGACCCTTTATGGTAAGCCTGCTGTTACCCATGTTGTGTTATCAGTTGCTTTGTTTGTATTTTCAGAAGGAGTTACAGTTCTCATAAATCATATTGCTAAGGCTAATGCAGATGGCTACTCTTTCAATCCAGTCCCCTTTCTGCCTTCTAGGTCTTTCCTCCAGTATGCCAGAAAACTACCACCTATTGCAGCATGCTACTCTGCAACACAGGCACCACTCCCATAAGCTTCCACATAAGCCTGGAGAAGTGCCCTTCTGTCTTGGTCAAGCCTCACTCTGGGTTTATTGCACCTGGAGCTCACCAGATCCTCATCCTCTCAACCTGTCCACAGGAAACCTCTGTACAGCAGCATAGCTTGTCCTTGCATCTCAACTTTTCTCCATCATTCACAAAGGTGGGGGCAAACTTACTCATTGTATTACCAGGATGGCACATCATTTTCTTTCTTGATAGTTGACAGCACACTTTAAAGAGCTTTGCAAAGATTCCAGGCAGAACATGAAGGAAAGAGGGACAGATATACTGGTACTAGCTGTCTGCTCTCTCTGAGTTTATCTTCTTTATTACGTGATCTCTCAGCTAGCTATTTTAATAATCAGTTGTAATTGATTTTTTTAAAGTCTCATTTATTTTAAACAGATCTGTCTGTTTGACTTTTTTAGTGATTTATTCCAAAGACCCATTTTGGGTGAAATATTGATTAGAAATATAAAACTAAGGTGTATCACATCCACATTTTAACTATCACGCAACACTCCCAACAAGGCAATAGTACGATGTGCAGCTGACATATAATTTATGGAGAGCTAACAAACGTATTGTTCCCATTAAAAATGAGTCAAACAACAAATATATACACTGCAAAAACCTTTTTTATAAGTTAAAGTGTTCTATATGTTCCATCTTATAAAGTGCATTGTGTATTATTCATAATATTCTAAAACTTCCTTTTTACACAATCAACCCCAACGGGAGTTTCTAGAATTGTACACCCACTTCTCCTGGCTTGAAAGTCTTCTAAAGGGGGAAGTTTCCTTTTGTGGTTACATTGAAGTTTAAATTGATGTTTGTTGCTGGTCCTACAAAAGGCCCATTAAGCAGCTGACATTCATAGACGGAGCGCTCCTGTCTTTCTCAAGGATGTAAATTGACTGGTAGCTATTAGATTATACAAACTGATTATTATTGTTGATATTGCATGTAATGAATATGTACCTGTTTTAAAATATTATGAATGATACACAATGCACTTTATAAGATGGAACATACAGAATACTTTAACTTATACAAAAGGTTTTTGCAGTGTATATATTTGTTGGTTGACTCTTCTAACACTGCAGCTTGAATTTCCACAACCATTAAAAATGAGGCCAGGAGTAGGTGAGCTTTCCAGTATTGGAGAGGAAGTGAGCAGAAATGTCAAAGAATGAATGAAAGGGGAAGCACAACAAACAAACAAAAAAGCAAGCAAGCAAGCAAAGAGTGTATACAATATAAGGGCACTACTGTAGAAAGAATAGCCCATGTTTCTGCTGTTTGTGACCAAAGGGATAGTGTTAATAGTGCATGGCTGTGCTGTGCCCTTAGACTTCCGTGTTTATAGTATATAGCAGCAAACACAGCTAGCTCCACCCATCACATTGCACCATTCCAGTTTGGGGTCGTGGTTAAGTGCGCGGACTCTAATCTGGGAGAACTGGGTTTTGATTCCCCACTCCTCCACTTGCACCTGGCTGGATGACCTTGGGCAAGCCATAGTTCTGATAAGAGCTGTTCTTGAAAAAAGAGCAGTTTCTGTCAGAGCTCTCTCAGCCCCACCTACCTCAAAGGGTGTCTGTTGTGGGGAGGGGAAGGGAAAGGAGTTTGTAAGCCGCTCTGAGACACCTTTGGGTAGTGGAAGGAGGGGTATAAATCCAATCTCCTCCTCTTCTTCTTCTTCTCCCCTGAAAGCAGGGCAAGTCAGACCAAGTTAGGATAGATAGGCCTGTTTAATAAAATCCAAGGAGTGTGTGTTCCTATAGTATTTCTGTCTCCATACTTGTTCCCACACTCTGTATCCAGACCCCATCCTGAACCTCAAAGCCATTTCTCATTGGTGGCAGCCAGGTCAGTAAGAGTGGACACTGCTACCTTCTCCTAAGGAACTGCATATAACCCATCCCCCTCTTTTTTGAGCCACAATGCAGAATAACATTTTCTCATGCATCATTAGTTTAAGCAGCTGTTCTATGCCCCACTAGGGGAAATGCCTGTTGCAGGAGGAGGCAATGGGCCCTAGGGAGAGCTGTCAGCTTGGGGCAAGGGGGCTGGGCCCGGTCCCGCCCAGGGCCGGCGGAGTCCCCTCCAATGCAGGGCCTGCAGCCTGACCGGCAAAGGCTGCCCCATGTGAGGGAAGGCCGGTGCAGCCACCAGAAAGACGGCTTGCACTTGGCGGGGCCACAATCTCGCCTGACTTAAGGACTTTGCCTCTCACCGGTGGAGAGGTAGGAGAGCGAAGACGTGTACGGCCAGGGCAAGTGCCTCGGGCCACGCTGGATCATCGTCATGCGGTGCATGGAGGCGGTGGTCGGTGCGGCGGGAGGGGGGCCATGCCTACCAGTCCCCGGGCGCAGCGGCTGCCTCCCCCGTCCCTGAGGCCATGCGGCCCCGGCGCAGGCCCCCCAACCGAAGAAGGTGGTGGAGTGAGGCGGACCGGCCGGCCGTTCAGGAATGAGCTCCTCACCTGCTGTCCCCGGTCTCTGCCGTCCCCCTCACTGACATTCCGCTTCTCCGGGGCTGCCGCATCCTCCTGGCGCCGCCCCCCGCCCAGCCCCGTCGCCTGGCCTCGCAGCCTCCCTTCCCCAGCTCCTGGCAGTGGCGTCCACTCGCAGTGTTTGCCTCCCGCCTCCCAGCCAATGGCACGCCAGCAGCCTTGAGCGGCAGCTGCCGGGCCAATGGCTGACGGTGCACATTTTTCTCCACTCCCTTACTCAATTATATATAAAGGAGAGATATTTTTAAACATGCTAGATGAGTATTCCCATATGGAAATGGTACAATTGGGAAAAGTCAGATGGGTGAAAAAAGCTGGTTGGATCCATCCCATTATTAATTTACTTTGGTAATTTTGCCCTTATATGCATTCTTACGTTGGTCCTGGCTATTTCAGGCCTGTCTTTGCTAGCCTAGAGTTCAGCTCAGTTTAACCTTGTAGAAGCACCACGGTTGGAAGCACATTGGCTAAAGATTACTGTTGATGTTTGCTTCTTCAGGAAATCATTCTCCAGAGCAATGCTGAACCTCTTGTTCTACTCTTAGAAGATGATGGCAGCCTCTATTTCAAACCCACATGTGTGGGTCTCTCTTCCTCACGTACTTTTGCTATAAAGAACTCCACCCGGCTACCCATGTTCTTCAGGTGGAAGATCCAGCAGTCTGACAAAAAGCTTCTGTCTGTCCGGCCTGCTGAAGGGACTATTCTTCCCAATGAAGCTTTGGTGAGTAGACACAGTGTTTGTACTGAGTAATTTGAAGCTGTTACATGGAATGGTAACACATTTTCAGCCAAGGATGGTACTATACACAATTCCAGACAGTGGGAAATACAGTACAACGGTACTGATCTGCCGCGGCACTGAAGTGCGATCGTCATAGGGCCGCTCCGTTCCCAGTTATCAGCCGAGTTCGTTGTTGTTGGTAGTGGCGGCTCCTAGTCGAAAGCCTGGCGGAAGAGCTCCGTCTTACATGCCCTGCGGAACTGTACAAGGTCCCGCAGGGCCCTCATCTCCTCTGGGAGTTCATTCCACCAGGTAGGAGCTGCCACTGAATAGGCTCTGGCCCTGGTTGCTGCAAGCCGGGCCTCCCTAGGGCCTGGGATCACTAAGCGATGTTGTGCCCTGAACCGTAGTGCTCTTTGGGGTATATATGGGGAAAGGTGGTCCCTCAGGTATGTCGGACCCTGGCCATATATGGCTTTAAAGGTAAAAACCAGCACTTTGAAGCAAACCCGGTACACTATTGGCAGCCAGTACAGTGCATTCAGCACAGGCTGGATGTGCTCCCCTCTAGGGAGACCCACCAACAGTCTGGCCGCAGCATTCTGCACTAGCTGCAGCTTTTGGATTTGTGACAAAGGCAGCCCCATGTAGAGAGCGTTACAGTAGTCTAATCTCGAGGTGACCGTCGCATGGATCACTGTCGCCAGGTCGTCACGGTCGAGGTAGGGAACCAACTGCCGAATCAGCCTAAGATGGTAAAAGGCCGACCTGG